TCACCATATAATTGTGATTAATAAATCCCTAAATTTCATATCCAAAATCTATCTTAAAAGTAAATTTGAAGGGGCACATCACATCTATAGTTGGGTGAGCTGACTCATCAAACACTTCTCCTTTATTTTATAGGTGTTTTGGAGTTAAATGAAAGACGTAAGTGTTAAATTGTTAATATCTCGTAGGTGATTTGATAAATTTCTCCTAAAACAAGAAAGAGAAATTTTGTTGAGATAAATTAAAACAAGAAAGGGAAAAAAATTGAGATTAATTTGAAAATAGAGGTATGGGTACCTCTGTGATTTAGAATTCACATCAATGACCAAACCACCCTCGCTCACAAAACATTCCTTATTTCTCTTTTTTCTTATAAGTTTGCATCCTCCACGATTTGTATTCTTGCATCCTAGTTTTGAAATCATTGTCCTTTACTTTATGCTCTCTGATTTTGCTAAAGTATCTTTTTGTGCACGAGAACTAGTTTTAGCACTAACTTTTAATTCCTTTGTACCTAATAACTACTTTTGTGCTCTCACTTCCAAATTTTCGAGCAAACCACATGAATGGGTGGCTCAAATTTTACGAGATTATTGTTATAGTGAAAATATATTATTCCAAAGTTTATTTCCATACTAAGGGAGATGGGAAAGTGAGAAGACCTGGCAATGGCCCGGGACGCCCGAGTCGGCCCTAAAAAAGTTGGGCTTGGGTCACAAGGTTTGGCTCGACAACCGAGACGGCGTTGTTACGCCCACCCTATTTATCATTTCAAACTTCTTCCATTTTTTTATTTATTTATTTTTTATATAGATTTATTCCGCCCAGACCTAACAAAAGCCTCTTTATCCTACCCTAGGCTTGCTTGTAAGACTATGGCCGGAACGCTAAGGCTAGGATGACCGGCCCAAGCCTGGCTAGTTGCCAGCCCTAAGATAGGGTACATAGTTTTTTTTTACGTTAAACACAAATGTATGAATTTGTGGGAAAACACTTTGCATTTATACAAAGAAGCTACTTAATGAGACTTTTTTATACATAAAATTTTAGGAACTAGCTGGAAAAAATTGAGGGGAAAGTATATAAAGAGGCCATTAACCTTTAGCACACGGTGGTCCAAATTAATCTTGAAAAATGAATGTGAAATTGGGTGGCTGCATTTGTTTCATTGACCGACCTCAAATTTCAAAAGATATTTTTTCGAACTTTTTGACATACCTAAAGTATCAAATTTTATATGAGATGGTTGTACGTAATTGTGAACTCCCTGTATCAAAGATAAATAATATTGTACAATATCAAGATTGAGTACTCAACAAATTTTCTTTTTTATTTGACTTCAAAAATGTGAAGAGTTTCAGCTTTCTCTAAAGAGACCCAGCGTCCATTAATCGTATGAATATACAAACTTGTCTTTTATAGACAAATTAGAGATGAGAAAATATAAAATTAAATCACAGTTTTCTGTACTATACCCAAACTTATCATAAATATAAGATATTGTATCTACCCTTCCTAGATATACGGATTACCATATATACCTTTGATATTAACTATGCAGTATATACTTTCTTTTCACACTCCCTCTCAAACTAGAGATGCTATGAGAGAGAGTTGTTGGAGTTTGAACACTAATTACAGAAACGAGCAGTTGGATCTTCTGGTGTATAACATGACCAGTAGATGCAGTGATTGTCAATCTCAGATTGCTTGATCAACAATTACAAAAAGCAGCGACCGATCAACAAGCCTCAGGAGCAGATGGTCTCAGGAACTGAGGGCCATATAAGAGTAGGCTCAATCAATCAGACAAACATTCCAAAGAGAAAAATATATCAGAGAGTTGAAAATGACTCTGCAGAGAGACAAATCCAATAGTCGAAACACGACTCAACAGAAGTTGCACCGAGTGGGTGAGCAACATACTCGTCTTGAAAATCAACTACAATGCTTTAGGGACATAAAGCCCTTTTTTCATCTTATAGTGCCAATGGGATGATTTGATTGGTTGGTCTTTAAATTTGAGGTTACATCCCTCAAAATTGGAAATCTAAAACAAATCTTTACCGTAATGAGGGTTTCATGATCGAAATCAACAACCATCTATTCGAATTGGAATGGGTAATGGATGATACAAGCATTCTTAATAATAATATTTTGAATTAACCTTTTTAATCAAGATTTTCGCCAATCCAACCGATGTAGAC